GGACCTTGAACGGACACCGACAGTCCACCATAACCTGAAATTCAGTTAGAATCAGAGAAATTCTTCGATTCCCTCATTTTAGCGGGCGCAGACATTGAATATCTCAAAAACAGAACAGCTGCCATCAGATGAAAAACGACACATTCTCGGCGGACAACCAGAAAAAAAAAACATGCAGAGCCCATTCACATAGAGGCTTTTAAAAGCCTTGAGGATTAAAAACAAACCAGCTTTGCTAGTATCGATGAGAATCTCGTTGTCCTTCATACATTCAGCGCTTTTCTTGCCAGGTCCACTCACCTCGACCCTGCTTGCATCTCCCAACCTGCGATTTATCCACCTGAAATAAAAGAAATTGTAAGCCATTGAACTATAGAGATAACAACTCCAACATGCCTTGATCTTGAAAGGCGCTTTTGGCAAAAGCTTTCCATCCCTTTTAACGGAAATGAGATGCTCCCCTGCCTCACGAGGTGTGAAAGAAACACCTGAAAACAATCTGAATATAATATATGACACCACTGGACCGAAAATAATCTTGCATATTCCAGTGAAAAGTCAAAGCGCGTAATTGATAGCGCATTAGTTGGTTCTATCCTTACAAACTTCTTTTCCATTACAAACTGTAATGAACTTCCCAATTCATTACAAACAGCACCATGGTCTAGCAATTCTGGCACTGTAATGGTGTTGAACTCAAAAAATTTACCAAGCCTTCCTCCCTCGATGAGCCGAACAAAGCACGGTTCTTCAATACCAGAGGGCGATTTGATGGAGGCAGAAATACCCTTCAGTTCAGACTGAGTAATGTTCAGCGCCACTTCTGACGTAGAGCCAACAGATAGATGGGCACGTTTCTGCAAATGAAGACGTAGATATGAGCAGGGTATGGAAAGAACAAAGAAATTCATTATGAACAGTTCTCAATCTGTCTGTATATGGCAAAGCATAATACATATTAGCAGTATTACTGAACTAGAAATGAAGTAGCCTCTCACAGACAAGATGAAAGGTTGAAGGGTTTCGCATTAATCAGCTCCTCTTAGAATGCGCCACGTCTTCTACCTTACATCCAGAATCGTTGCAGAATTTGGATGCGTTGTGGGGCCATATAATTATTGTATTTGTAAAAGCCCGATGAACAAATCAATGTTTTTGTCCTCCTGGAAAAGTCTGGCAGAAATTATAATGCGTAGTTATCGAAGGCTTGGTGGTCTGAAGGGCGTAACGTGCGAAAAAAAATCGAGCTGAGGAATAGACCGGACCCGGTAAATGTCGCCATTTGCCTACTAAACCATCACTAAACACAGAACTTTCCGCCTTTAAGAGTGATTTCAAGGTTTTTGCACTGCCAACACCTCAGATTCTACTACTCGTAAGTTGATACCCAAGGAAACAAATCAGTAATTCGAAAAAATAGGTCCGCTAGAACTTTTGAAACCTGAAATTGCACAATCACCTTGGATACTATCGGAGGAAAACTTGAGACTGAGTTCTCGTTCTAATTTATTGCACTTTTCACTTCTCACTGTTAGCACAGAGTACCTCTATTGATGCACATGGAAACGAAAATAAGGTAAGAGCTGCAATTTACTAAACTGAAAAATTTTCCAAAACCAGGTGAGCATACGACAACTTCAAGAACGCCGTTCCTCAAAACCTCAATGCGAACGAGCTCCGACTTGAGCGCATCGGTATCGCCGCTACCTCGCTATTAATTACGACGGTTTCATGCTTTCACGGTTTGATGGGAATGGCATCCATTGATTCGGAAAGAATGCGATGGCTAGCTACATGCACTGCCGGAAGGATTCTTTCCGTGATCTGCTGTATCCGAAGGATGCTCTGCTGCCAATTTTATCCTACTCGTAATCGAAGTGTGATCGAAGTACACATGATGCCTTTCCCAGATGTGGTTAACCTTAAAGGCAAAGTTCGAGCTCAGACCCACCTAAGAAGCCCTTACCATGGCTAGAAGTGCTGGGTACGCAAGTGCAAAGGTAGCGCCACCTTTCTACATCGAAACGCGTCACTAGGACCCTAGGCGCCATGGACTTCTAACAGACTCCACCAAACTTAACATGGTCCGCCCACCGTTCGATATCTTGTCTGCGTCGCTACGTTGATCTGCTATGCTCTCTCTCTCGGACTTCTCTACCACTCTCCGCGCTCACTCATTATCTCTCATCTCCTCTGACCGCCTTTTGAACTTCTCCTCAACGTATAGCAAAAACTCCTTTCCTGTGTATTTCACAATTTTCTTTCCTTTGGTGCATTTCACAATTCTTTCCTATTTCCTCCACATGTAGTCCCCTCCCGTCCCTACTTTCATATATATATTTTAGTGGAATCATCGCATCAGTTTAATCCCGAATCTTGCCTTCAAGGAAGGCGAGGAGCAAATGTGAATATCGTCAAAAAGTGTAGCTCAACGCAATTTATGAGGACCACGACAAAATCGCCTGTAGATTCGACAGAATCAGCGGGAACGATGTGAAGTTCTGCATAGGGCTTTAAATACACGCTTATGAATACCACAAGTTACAAGCTCCCTAGGATAGGGAGAGGAAGAAAAGAGCTAAAAATATTGAGGACTTCTGGCACGGACCGCGAATGCAGCCCGTATAGAGACCGATGAGAAGTCATTTGACGTTTTCCATGTACAATCAGGTCTTAATTCGAGAAAAGTCAAAAGTAATCACTAGAACCAGCGAAGAACTAACAGAGCAGGAAATAATATGAATCGAATTCCCCTTCCTAGTCAGTTAAGAATTGCGCCTGAGTAACCGCGATTTTTTCCTCTCCGCTGATTTTCGTTTATGTGGGAGTGGAAACTTGAGCTCAATGGTACCTTAGGTGGAATTTCAAAGAAACTGCTTTTCATTCCAAAACGATTGGATTGACGAGAAGGCGGTTTGACGGCTCATGATTGATTTTGTGCAAGTCTGGTACAGAGCCGCTTCGTCCGAGGGCTGGGCATGGATTGCCTAGCTAAAACCACCATTTCAAATGTAGTGAATCATTTTATGTTTACGGTAGTGAAGCCGAAAAATGCCCAAAACCACACAGCTCGATTAGTTTGCTGAAGGCTGCTCTTCAAAAAGTACGAGATGAAATTCGGAAGGATGTCAGAAACAATCGACAAAACTGATGGTAAATTGCTGTAAGGTCCGTTTGAGGAAATTGCCAAGCTCATGGGTGGCCTTTGAATGGTAATACCGACTATATTCGATAGGATATGATCACCCGTCGATACAGTTGACATACCGTTTCAACCTTTCTGATTGGAGGTTACAGTTATTTTGTCACCATATTTATCTCCACCCTGTAGAGGGACTACCATACATTATATGTACCATCAGGAGGTTCTTGAACTTGTTGAATCATCTTGAATGAATGAATCGCTGATGACTTAAAGACGCACTTAAATCATTTCGATAGAGCAACCGAACGCGACCATAAACAGGAAGGAAAAGACCCACCTGTCCTTCACCTGCGACCAATACACTGAACGGCGAATCATGAACTTCTTTCCCACCGAGCTTTACATGAACTTTGTATTCTCCCGGAACTGGAGGCACCCACGTGACCGAGCACGTGCCATCCTGAATCAAAACTTTGCAATCCTTCGACTTTAGTGCACGAGCGCTCGATTAACAGGAGGAACCACCGCAACCCTGAAAACAAGCGACAAAACAAAACAAAAAGCAATCGTCAGCTACCTTGTTGTCATGGATCTTGATCCTGCTCTGTGCTGGTCCTTCGATAGTCACAGACAGCTCCTTCGCAGCTGACCCTTTCGCACAAACAGTGAAGGCGGCTGGCTCTCCTACGATTGAGTTCTGCAATCCTGGTCCATAGACAGTAGCATATCCGCCACCGTAGCTGTCAACATAAAAGCGGAGTGGACTTCCCCTAAAAACATATGTAAGCTTTAACCAAAAATCTTCAACGTTAACAAAAAACGCTACCGCAATGTGAGCTCCGTCCTGAACGATGGCCAACTCATGAGAGCCATGCTTTTTTGGCACATACTTCACTTGAATCGTTCCTGAAATAAAAAGCATGAATAAGAGAAATCTCCATTTCAAACACTGACAAGGAATGGATTGAAGCTAACGATTTGGAAAGTGTTAACGTGAGATTTATTTACAGGCTTTTTTAGAAATTTTGGAAAGTACTTTTTAGAAATAAACATCTATAATTATTCGAAATTTATGAGTATACTTTCGAAAGATTCTTCTACATTCTCCCAGAGACAGGCATAAGCAGAGCTGAAACCAAGATCAACCAGCAAATGCTTGGATTTATTGAAAGCCAGCGATGCAAAGGGATGTATCGGATACTTACCACGAACGTAACTAGACAAAAGACAAGGGACAACTCATTCCCTAACGCTCAGGTTTGTTGCCGAAACCTGAGGGACGCTCAGGTTTTGGCATCAAATGGGAGAATCAGCTCTGGAATAATAGAGTAAACTATACAGCTACGAGAGTAAGAAGTTCTGAAAATCCGCACGACTCAGTGAGACGACGACCATGGGAAAACTGTTGCGAACTTTTCAACGCATCACAGCAAAGCGCCCACTCATCACATAATGTCACCAGCTTAGTTGCGCATGCATTTGCGTGCCTCACACGGACTAAACTAGTATAAAACAGGCTCATCGAGATTTTACAGTATTGGTAAACTCCGCCCACTTTGTTTTAGAAAATCAAAAGTAGTTCACATGAACCTTCATGATTCATACTGAAAGCTCACACAAATAAAAAATCAAAGACTTTGAGGGAAAAAGGAATTGAGAAAGAGGCTTCAAAAGTAAGCATTCGCCGAACACATCAAACATAAAAAAGATGCGGACATTAATAGAAGCAAACTCGCACAACTGGCTGTAAACCACGGAATTACCCACTCATCACACGATACGAAAAGATGGGGTCACAAAGGATCATGAGATAGCCCACACCAGTA